TTTTTTTTTTTATTTTGAATGTGAAGAATAAGCTTGAAAAGGCAGCCTTCCAGTGTGGTATGGCCATTTCCAGGCGGGATTGGAACTTTTCATGGCAGCTGAATGCTTTATCTGTAGGAATCCAATATCCAGGCTAACCCAATTCACCCTTAATTACCCAATTAATGGCTGTGTGTGTTCCCCACACGCTGCTCAGCTGAACCTTCCCTCCTCCAAGGTTACATCTTTGTTGATTTGAAGAGTGCAGCAGAAATGCAAAGGGCCTTGAAGAGGAAGAAAGAATTCCTGGGTAAGGGCTGTTTGTTCCTGCTYRTTCTGGCAGTGGGCTCAGCTGCTCRAGTGTTCCCTGCACACACAGCTCCTGGGATTGGGGTTTTTCCCAGGCTTTTGGGGGGGTTGCTGCTCAGTTTAGCTCACATGGGATAAACCAGCTGGTGCTGCAGAGCCCTCGTGTTGTGCCGTGTGCTCGGGGTGGGTTTTGGGATGAAAATTATGTTGTTTGAGGCCAGMTTGGTACAGATGGTCCTGTGAGGCTGTGCTGGAGCCCTGGGCTCGGCCTGAGCCTTGCAGAAACTGCTGGAATTGTTTGTAAATGTTGTGTGCAGGATGGGAATGGCTGCTTGGTGCGGGCTGGAGCTCTGTGAGAGGAAAAGGGATTGTTCACATCCTGATTTTTATGARCTCCTCTCTTGCAGCCCCCACCTCCCCTTTATTTTTGAGTCCTGTGGGGCTGTGATGGTGTCACTGCTCTCAGCCTGGGCTGGGGTTTGTTCCCCTGGCCTTGGGGAGCACCCAGCATCCCTCAGTGTGTGTTTGGGATTAGGGGGACGCTGCGTGGAGATTTCCCGGTGCAGGAACACCCCAAAAGAAACAGCTCCAGCCAAACCTGACCAGCAGCCGTGGCAAAGGGTGCTGAGGGATGATGAGGAAGAGGAGGACTTGTCTGAATCAGGGAGGCTGTTTGTCAGGAATCTCCCTTTCACCAGCACCGAGGAGGACTTGGAGAAGATCTTTTCCAAGTAYGGTGAGTGTTGGGACTGGGATTTGTAGGGTGGCACCTTCCCTTTGTCCCGAGGTTTTGCTGCTGGGTGGGAATGGACAAAGCTCTGTGTCCCACATCTCTCACATCTGGCCCAGTTCCCTTTTTTATTGCCTGCTGTGATGGGAGCCTGCATGGCAGGTGAATTGCTGCAAGTGAGAGGTGAACCCTTGAGTCACACCCCGAATTTGGAGTTTCTATTTTCTACCTCCAAATGAAATAAATTTGCTGCTTTCTGAGCACCCTGGGGCAGTGAGGGTGAGGCTGGGGGGGGTCTGTCCCTGCCTGAAGGTAACCCACAAATGGTTTGTGTCACCTGTCACAACCTTGGGATGCTTGTGCCGTGCCCCCCGTGTCCCTGGGTGGCTCCTGGCCTGGGCTGGTGGCTCACCCAGAGCTGCCCTGGCTGAGGTTGGGCAGTGCCAGCTCAGAGCTGGGCAGTGCCAGCTGTCACCAGGCAGCCTTGCCTCCCRCAGGACCCCTGTCAGAGATCCACTTCCCCCTGGACAAACAGACCAAGAGACCCAAAGGCTTTGCCTTCATCACCTACATGATGCCTGAGCACGCTGTGACAGCCTTGGCAGAGCTGGACGGGCAGGTGTTCCAGGTACAGCATTTTCGGGGAGATTTCCTGGCATTTCCTGGCAATGTTTGGCAGGAATGGGGCTGACAGTTTGCTTCTGGGCTTTGCTGAAAAGGTTGGGTCTCTCCTGCTGTGCTGTTTGGGGGTTTGGAAAGTTTTGCAGACACCAAAATCCTGGTACAGGTGGGGAAGGGCCTCCAAATCTCTTTAAATTGTGTGGAAGGAGCTCCAAATCTCTTTAAATTGTGTGGAAGGCGCTCCAAATCTCTAAATTGTGTGGCCACTCTGGTGAAATTCCCTTCTCCCATCTAAGCTGTTTAACCAGGAAAGGTGCCAGAAAATTTCCTTCACTCTGCTTAGCTCGTGGACTCCTGTGAATTATTCCAGGAATCACTTCCTGTCTTCCAGGGCAGAATGATGCATCTTTTACCCTCCACAATCAGAAAGGGAAAAACRGAAGATGGAGATGCAGAAGATTCTTCCTCCTACAAAAAGCGCAAAGAGGCCAAGGACAAAGCCAGCAGTGCCAGGTACAGCACGAGCTGCCAGATCCCCAGGGAGAGGCAGGAATGCGTGTGGGGTCTTCACACGAGCTGTAGAGATTCCTAAAATTGATAAAATATTTGCTGTGCAGCTCTGTTTGCTGTCTGTCTTCCCCACCTGCCTCCTCTGTCCCAGCAGCAGCAGAAATGGAGAGAAACAGGGGTTGGAATGGTTTTGTGTGTCAATTATTTCTCTGATAATTTCTCTGATTCTGTAATTCTTCAGGGTGATGGTTTCACATCAGTTGGGCCTTTCTCCTCTCCACCTGTATTTCTGAAGTTTGGAACAACTTTTTTCTTGCTGTGTGATGAATTAGTGTGAAAGAATTGGCTGATCCTTTGTGCCTTGAAGGGAAAGGGGTGCAGCTTTGTTTGCATGGGCTCTGTGGGTTCAGGGAAGGGGTTGGGATGGGTGTTCCCCTGAGCTGCGTGGCTGTGACCAGCCAGGCCTGGGGAAGCAGAGCTCAGCACCTTTGTGTGCCCCCAGTCAAATTCCCYCATCCCTGAGGATATTCCACTCTCTTCACCCTGATTCTGGTGGTGCTCAGAGCTGTTTTTTCCCAGGATTAYTGTCTGAGCCTGGCTGTGTTTTCCCTTGGCAGCTCCCACAACTGGAACACGCTGTTTGTGGGGACCAACGCCGTGGCCGAGGCCATGGCTCACAAGTACAACGCTGCCAAAAGCCAAGTGCTGGATGCTGTGAGTTCARCTGGGGATCAGCTGGGGTGGGACAGCACTTTCCTGCTTGGTTTTTGCGCTCTGGGCATTCCTGATCTTGGACAATTCCTGATCTTGGACAGCAAAAGCTTCAGTGCATCCACGAACCCCACACAGGTTGAGGTCTGTGGGCTCTGAGCCTATGGATCCCTTGGTCCCCAGCCCTCCTTCCTACGCTGCTTTTCTGTGCCTGAATTTAGCATTTTCCATAACTACAATTTGATGGGAATTTAAAAGCCCAGATCCTTCCTGTAAATTTGGTTTTACTTTGGGAAAGCGTTCAGATTGTGACAACAAAACTTCCAGAGGAGCCTGGAGCGTTTTACCCTCAAGCTGCCTGCCACATTCCCTTTGTGCCTGCTCCTGGGTGACTGAATTCTCACCTGCAGGAGAGCAGAGACAGCGTGGCCGTGAGAGTGGCTCTGGGAGAAACGGAGCTGGTGCAGGAAATCCGCCGCTTCCTGGTGGAGAAYGGAGTCAGCCTGGATTCCTTCAGCCAGGTGAGAGGCTCAGCTCAGGCTGCTTCTTCTAGTCTCAGTGTTCTCAGCTCTCTTGGAAATTGGGAATTAAACCCTCAGAATCTTGCGGGGTTGAACCCTCCTTGATGAGTTCAGAAATGTTGTTTATCTATTTGGAAATGCTGCTGCCCTCAGGATGGGTGAAATCCCATAATACGATGGCTTTAGGATGGTGGGGCAGGGAAGGAGCCCTGTCTCCACACCAGGGTGGATCTGCAGCTGAAAGCTCCCTCCATGAGCATTTGTGGGGCTGGGAGGTTGGGGGTTTATAAACTCCCTGCTTTGGGATCACGGAACGGGGCAGCACGGAGAAAGGGAGAACACAGCGTGCTGGCTCTGAAATCCCCAGTTAGAATACTGCTGGATTTATTCTTTGCCATCCCCTCTTCCCTTTTCTTTCCCTGCTGGATGTGCCAGGCTGCTGGAGAGAGGAGCAAGACGGTGATCCTGGTGAAGAACCTGCCGGCCGGCACGGACCCCGCCGAGCTGGAGGAGCTCTTTGGCCGCCACGGCGACCTGGGCCGGGTGCTGCTGCCCCAGGGAGGGATCACAGCCATCGTGGAGTTCCTGGAGCCCAGCGAGGCCAAGCTGGCCTTCACCAGGCTGGCCTACACCAGGGTGGGACAGCTGGGAGGGGTGGGAAGGGGCACAGGGAGGGTGGGAATTGTGTTATCCCAGAGAATTGTGCTGTCCCAACTTCTGCTCTTTGGATTCGGGGAGATCGCTGCATCTTTTTGCAGCAACTTTTTTCTTGCTKTGTGATGAATTAGTTTGAAAAAGTGGTTGGTGCTTTCTGCCTGGAAGGAAAGGGGTGCAGAGAATCCTGGAGGAGGGGATAGTGACACATTTGTAGGGTTTGTGTTCCTTTTCACAATCCAGCAGTGTGACCCTGTGTAAGGCTGGACCCTTCAGTGACACAGCTGAGCCGCCTGAAAATGTCACTGAGCTCTTCCCCTGCTTTTCCCATCAGAGCCAAGTGAAAATGAAGCTGRGTTTGGGCAGAGCTTTTCCTTCAGGCCTTTCACTCGTTTCTCTCCTCACAGTTCCACTCTGTGCCGTTGTACCTGGAGTGGGCTCCTATGGGGGTTTTCCTTGGCCCAGCCCCTCAGAAAGAAAAAGCTGGGGCTCCAAAAAAGGAGGATGAAGCAGGGCTGGCACCAGGTAAGATCTTTGAGTCTTTGGGGCTCCCTCTGTTTCTCTGCCCTTGTGCCAAGCCCAGGATATGTTTTGTGTGGGTGATCCCACTGTGACGACAGATTTTTTTTTATTTTATTTTTTTTTCTTCCCACTTTTCTCCCCATCCCAGGGGCTCCCCTGAAATTCGTGTGGGCAGCTCCCCTGAAATTTGAGTGGGCAACTCCCCCAAAATTTGGCTTTGTTCCATCATGCAAAGATGTGTTTATTCTTGTTTCAGGTGAAGCTGTGCAAGACTCGGAGGGAGCAGCAGCACAGGGAGAGGAGGAGGAAGAAGAAGAGGATGAAGAAGAGGAAGAAAATGTTCCTGGGTGTACYTTGTTCATCAAAAACCTGAACTTTGCCACCACAGAGGACACGCTGAAGGAGGTGAGCAGTAAGGAAATGGTGTTCAGAGCAGTTCAGCTGCAGCCAGTGTGGCCTGGTGGGAGATGAGAGAGCTCTGGGAATGTCACTGCAGGTGTCAGTTTAGACAAATTCATCTGAAACTGCCTTGGTGGGGTTTAATTCCACCTCGAGACAGGTGGAAGCAGTAGGAAATCTTGCAATATTCCTGATTTGCTGTGATTTCTGTGCTGCTCCTCCTCGGGACAGGCACTGCTGCAGCTCTGGCGCTGCCTGGTGTGAGGCAGTGAATCCATAAATGATGATTTTGGGGTTCTGCTGCTCATCCTGGAGCTGCCTCGTGTTGCTTCACCTCAGTGCAGTGCTGGGGAGGGAATGTGGTGTTCCTCAAATCCTRTGGGGTGTTAATGGCAAAATGAGGAAAAGCAGCTGGGATTTCCCATCTCTGGCATGTTTTGTAGCCATAAAATGCCACATTGCACAGCACGAGGATCCTGAACCTGTGACACTGTGCAGAGACTCGGACAGATGAATTGCCCAGAGCAGGGCTGGGGGTTTGTCCCCTCTGCTTTTTCTGCCTCCTGGCTTTACAGGGCACTCAGATCYATCCTTTGCTACCCTCTAGCCCCCATTTTTGGGAAGAGCTGTGCTTTGGGGCCATCACAGCAGTCAACCTCTCTTAAGGACAGTCTTTACTTGTCTTAGGGCCTCTCATAACCCAGAGCAATCCTCTGGAGCCATCTCTGATCTCTGTACCGYTCCCGAGGCGCGACAGAGGAATTCCTGGGAATTCTGTCTCTTTGAAACCCTTTTATTTTTTTTATGCAGAAATAATTTGATGAGGAAAGGCTCAGGTGTGAGCTGGGGGAGGTGGGCCCGTGTGTGTGAGAGCGAGAGGGCCGCGCTGGCGGCAGAGCCACAAAGGGAACYGAGTCACGTGTGCCAATTCCTTGCAGACATTCTCCAGAGCAGGAGCCCTGAAGAGCTGCACCATATCCAAGAAGAAAGACAAAGCAGGTACTTTAGATGCTGCTGCTCAGTTCCTTTAGCTCCCCCTCAGCCGAGGGGCTCAGGTGTGGCGTCGCTTCAGCGTTCGTCTGGCTGAGCATCCRCAGCCCTGCCATGAAATCCTCGGTGCTTCCACAAGTGCTGAAAGCAAACCTGCCCCGGGGCTCGGGCTGGGGTGCAGCTCGATTGTGGGGTTTGTGGAGAGGTGGATTGCTTTAGAAATGCTGAGATGGAGAAGGCAAACTCCTTGAGGATCCCAGCAGAGAGCGCGGTGCGGGCTGAGAGGAGCCGGGGCACGGCGGTGATGAAACCATGAGTTATCCCAGAATGGATCCTTGAGGCTGTCTGCCTGAGAGCTGGGCTGAGTGGGCTTGGTTTGCCTTTTCCCTGCCATCCCTGAGCCCCCTGCCTGAGAGGTGGGCTGAGTGGGCTCGGTTTGCCTTTTCCCTGCTAGCCCCAAGCCCCCAGGCTGTGGGGATAAGAGCTGAACTGAGTGGGCTCAGTTTGCCCTCTCCCTGCTAGCCCAAGCCCCCAGGCTGTGGGGATGAGAGCTGAGTGGGCTCAGTTTGCCCTGTCCCTGCTAGCCCAAGCCCCCAGGCTGTGGGGATGAGTGTTTGTGCCTCTTGTGGTGCCTGTGCTCACTTCCTGCAGTTGGAGTAAGGTGAGCTCTGTGGAGGGGCTGTGGCTCCTCTCTGGGATTTCCCCTGGACAGAGTTTTCCTCTGTGGGATGTTTGGAAGCTCAGATCCACTGGGAGATAAAGAAATAAAGTGATTTTTTTAGTCCTGGTGGGTCTGATAGGCAGCACCATCCCAGTGTGGGGTGTGCTTGTACCACCTGATCCCTTCTGGTACTGCTGAAGTGCTGAGGTTGAAAATGGGCTCTTTTCTCCCCTAACTATTGATCATCCCTTAATTATGGYTCCTGTGTCAGTCTGTGAGCTCCTCAGGGCCGTGGTGTGACCACAGCCCTGTGCTGTACAGGGAGGGGAAGCCATGTCTCTCCTTTGCCATGGAAGGGGCTCCAATTCATGGAATATTTGAGTCTCCACGATGGGATTGCTTCCCCTGTGACCAGCAGGGCTTTGCAGGGCTCATTGTTTTATTGAAGGAAGTGGCACTGAGACGATGCAAAGCAAAAAATCACTTTTGTGTRCAACATCTTTTCAATGTCAGCACCAAGACCAGAGCAGTGCCTTGCTCAAAAACATCAGAGATCCTGAGGAACATCCAAGTCCAGCCATGGGCAGCCTGGCTCTTTTTTCTGACGATATTTTATTTTTATCCCACCAATTTTGGCCATCAGTGCTTGCTCCTGGTTTATTTTTGTATCTCCCATCACCACTGCTCTCCTAATAAATTTTTCTTTCTCCTCTGGCAGGTGCTTTGCTTTCCATGGGATTTGGATTTGTGGAGTACAGGAAGCCAGAGAGTGCCCAGAAAGCCCTGCGCCAGCTCCAGGTGAGCTTGAGCTGGGATTYTGGGATGRATCTGGAATGAATTCTGGAATTTTKGGATGAATCTGGMATGAATTCTGGAATTCWGGGATGAAYCTGGCAGTTCMAAACCTCCCTGGGGGATGGCAGTGCTGGGAGTGGCACTGGGCAGGTGGAGAAGCCTCTAAAACGAGCCTGGTTTGGGAGAAAAAAGGGATTGTTAAGGGATAAGCCAGTGGAAAAGGGGGTCCTAGTGCTGATCCAATGTGGAAATCCCAGAAAATACACAAGGATTGGRTTTTAATGAGCTTTCCTGCCAGGTGCCCTTTGCAGAGAGGGGCAGAGATCCAGATCCCTGCTCACAGTGAGAGCAAACACTGATTAATGCTTACTTAGTGCTGCTTTGATTTCTAATCCTTTCACTGATTTATTTATATTAATTAYATTTTTTTTCCTGTTGTTTCTTTGTTTTAACTCCTAGGGCTGCACTGTAGATGGCCAYAAACTGGAGGTGAAACTCTCAGAGAGAGCTATCAGGTAAGGCTCACTTCTAATATTTAAGTTTAAACATAATTTAAATAGAATTRTAATAATATAATTATGCTTGGTAGCTATTTCTGATCAAATCAAGTAAAAAACTGCTTTCTTTCTTGATAAAAAAGTTTAAATTTTCCTCCTTTTGTATTGGCAGTCAGGTGCAGAGGAGATGGTTACTTGTGGGTGAATTTACTTGGAATTAACWTTGATTTTTAGGGTTTCCTTCCCAGTTCTTGGTACAGAATATTCTAAATGCAAAGTTGTAAATTAATTCAGATATTTGAATGTTGGCACCTAAACACCATGCTTTGGGTATTTTGGAAACTCTGCTGGAGGTGAGATCTGTTAAATGTCAGAATTTGTTTGAAAAGCTGGTTCCTGGGGACCACGAGCAGTGTGACAGCTCCCTGCATCTTCACKTTGTGTTTTAATTCTTTCAGAAATCATTTTTTTTAATCTAGTTTGGTTTTGAAAATCCCTTCAGCATGTATCCAGCCCACGATGGGAGTGCTTTGCTTTAGGGAATAAATGTATTAGGGAATTCAATAAATATTTTTGGAATTTAATAAATATTTAGGGAATAAGCTGCTGTCTGCTGTGTTGGGTAAATTCTGACCTTGTCCTAGTGCAGTGCAATTTTAGAGGTAAAAAAAAAAATTAATGCTCTGTTACAAAATTTCATTTGAAATTTTAAAAGCCAGCAAGAAAAAGAATGGAAATTAGCTTACATGAAGCTAATTTTTTAAAAATATATTAATTGATGTGTTCTCCTGATGATTAAATGGGTGAGATTTGGTGACAAAACACAAAGTCAGTGGCAAATGTGAGTCTGGGATCTCAGCTGGAGCAAGATGAGCTGATGAATTTTGAGGTGTAGGATTGAAATCCCTGGAATTTGGTCCCAATGTCAACTGGTGCCTCGTTTTTCCACATTTCAAACCCTGGGGGGATTCAGGGGGATTTTGCTGCTCCKTGGTTTTGACCTGCCCTTCCTTTGGCTCCCCAGGCCCGCTGTGAAATCAGCCCGGAAGAAACAGATCGCCAAGAAGCAGAAAACTTCCAAGATCCTGGTCAGGAACATCCCCTTCCAGGCCACTGTCAGGGAAATCAGGGAGCTCTTCAGGTAGGAAAGCGTTTTGTTGTCTCTGTGGGTTGCTCTGGGGTGTGGGGCTGCTGTGATTTTCATACAGGCTCTTCCTCAGAGTGTAAATATTGTGAATTCTGTTGTGTTTGTGGAAAAGAAACGAGGATTTTACTGAGTGTGAAAACAAATGGCTTGGGAGGTTACACTGCTGAGTGTTGGGCAGGGATTTTGGGGTGATCTTTGTGTTCTCAACCCTTTGTGTTGTGGTTCAAGCCTCGTTCCATCCCAGAAAATGGGTSAAATGTTGTAAAATGAAAACATCTTCACTGCTCCCAGAACAGGATGTTTTTCTCACTGCCCCAGGCTGTGCTCCCTGCTCTGCTGGTGCCTTGCAGGAGGGATTTTTTCAGCTCACATCTATAAAACCAGGATGGAGCTGCCATGCCCRGGGTGCTGCGTGGGCAGGTGGCCTCTGGGTGACCTGTCCTAGCAAAAGCTGGGTGCTTCTGTCACAGCTGGGCTGTTCTTTCCAAAGGGAGGGATCTGAGGGATTATTTAACCCTTCGAAACCTCCCAGACCAGTGCAGTGAAAAGCCCCTGGCAGTGATTTATTTGTGTTTCTATCACTCGTGGAGTTCCCCATGCTTTATTTATGATGCTGGCTGGGATGGGGTTTCTGCGTGGCTGTGGGGTTGTTTCCTTGCAGGGTGTGCAGAAAACTTTGTGCTGCAGTGCTGATTTGGGATGAATCCTGGGGATTTTGGGCAAACCATTGCTTTTCTCTTGGACAGGGATGATGATGGTCACAACATAAAAATCCCTCTAGTGCTGCCTAAACCGGCATTGAGAGAATTGAGAGAATACAAAACAGTTCTGTTGATTGCAGGGCCTTCAGGGCAGGGATTTTTCACCTTTTCTCACTTTTGTCCATTTGCTCATCGGGGCTGAATCCTCCAATTCCCTTTTCAGTCATTGACTCCAAGTTGGCTCCCCCAATTCTCTGTTGTTTCCATCTCTTGGGGCCTGGCACAGGGAGGTGTCCTTGAGTTTGGGGCTGCAGAGGAATTGTTTTGTGTAAAAATGGGAGAGCAGGAGCTCAGTACTGCCTGTGGAGTCTGGAGTTAAACACTGAACAATCACAGATAGTTAGAAATAGAGAAGCTGAAATCTTAAAGCATCACTAGAAGAGCAAAAATCATTTCTTGTGCTTGGATGCTTTTGGGTGCAGCTTGTATTTGCTTCAGTTCCACCCTGCAAGGTCCAGGGAGAACCCCCTGAACTTCCCAGTCCCAGCTCGTGGAGCTCTGTGGATTTAAATCCCAAMTCTGAGCCACAGGTGTGACCCTTGAAAAGCTCGACCCAGCAAAGCCGGGGCTGAGGGCGAGTTCAGGGTGCTGGGAGGTTTTGTACAGAACCAGCACAGGGACTCTGGGGGGTTTTGGTGAGGTTTTTACCCTCCTGTCCTGTCTGAGCTGTGGAGAGGAGGGCAGAGGAATATCTGGTGGATATCACTGGGAATGTGCTGCTCCCAGAGCATCCCTTTCATTTCCCTGGGATGTTCAGAGATTGGGGATTTATCCCCAAAACAAAAGCCAGCATTTTGTTGGGGCACACATCCCTTTCACCCCTGACATCCCTCTTTCCCTCTGCAGCAGCTAAAACCAGAGCAGAGCCTGGATTTTTCCTAAAAAAAAAAACCCAAACCCATCCTATCCAAAGATGCAATTTTTACAAGAGCCTCCCTGGATCTCTCTGTTCGTGCCTTTGAATCAGCTGCCCCTGCTCTGGAGCTGTGGGCTCTCCCTGCAGCTGGGAACCTGCCTGAGTTTGCCTTTTGTTTGGGATTTGTTGGGAATGGTGAGCAGTCCTGTGGCATGGAAGGCTGGCAGGGCTGCAGGGGGCACTGTTAGCCTGCCCAGGAAACCTGGCTGGGGACAGCGAGGGACAGCCAGCCTGGCAACCTGCAGGCCACTCGCAATGGATCACCCCCAAAAATGCATTTATTATGACAATATGTATTTCCAAATATCTCTATAACACGTGATATGTATGTAAATATATYTATTTATTCCCCCAAACAAATATTTCCACGTTTTGTGCTTTGTCRGGGAACTCTGTGCCCGGTCTCTGATGGCCTCATAAAAGGTGTTGGTGACACTGGAACAACAAAACAAGGGAGCTGGGTGCTCTGAATTGTGGGTTTTTCAGCCCTGGCAGTTCAGGGAATCCTTGTCCTGGCTGCTTTTCCACTTTTGTATGTTTTTCATGGGGTTTTCTTATGTTTTGTTTTTATGGATCCATTGTTATGAAATGCTCAGCCTTGCCCAACTCAGTCCCAAAGGAAGACTCCTTCATTTTGGAATTTGGGGCTACCAAGTTCTATTTTAACAATATTTCAACATTTATTTCAACACCTTCTGTGGGGCTGTTGGAGAAGAGGGACAGAACCACAGYTCCTGGAGGAACTCCTTCATTTTGGAATTTGGGGCTCCCAAGTTGTGTATTTTACAATATTTCAACCCCTTCTTTGGGGCTGTTGGAGAAGGGGGACAGAACCACAGTTCCTGGAGGAACTCCTTCATTCTGCAATTTGGGGATACCAAGTTCTATTTCTTGGTCTGGTCAAAGGTGGTGTTTTATCAAGGTGCTCCAGGAGAGTCAGGGATGCTCTGAGGGACAGCTCAGTGCTCTGCCTGCACAATAATCCTGCTGTAGAGCTCCACAAGGCTCAGCTGCTGCCCACTTGTCACCCCAGTGGCTTTRCTGGAGGTGACACCACTTCAGAGCATGTCCTGCCACGTTCTCCTGCAGCTTCTGGCCTCTCTTGCACCCTCAAGGGATTTATTTATTCTTTTTTTTTTAAGATAGGTGTTATTTCCTTCAGAGGGAGAAATGCTGTTCAATTACAGGGGCTGCTTTTGGGCGAGGTGTGAAGATTTCGCTTTTGTGGGGGTGGTTTTTTTCACCCGTTTTTTTGGTCTTTATTACATTCTCCTCTTCTCTTTACTACCTGGACAAATAACAAAAGGTAAATGGTGCTTAGTTCTCTCCCAAGAGCCACRGATAGGGGAGGAGAGACAAAAGGATTGCTATCCCATGAAGGCTGCTAATTTTTCCTACCAAATTGTGGGGCTTTTATGGCCAGACTTGTTTTTTTTTATTTTTTTTTCAAAAGCAACTCAAGCTGAATTGGAGATCTGTGAAAGGCCACATTTTCACAGATTGGAGCCCTGGCAATTTCTGAAAATTGGGCTCCTTGAAGAATCTATCACATGAGATCCATGCAGCCTTCATTGGGAGTTCCAATTGTTTCAGAGCACCCCCTGTCTGCACCAGCTCCAGGAATATTGCAAATCAGGCTGTTTAGCAGGTTTGGAGGAGATGTGTGTTTCATTTTCCTCAAAGGGGGAGTGATTAAATAAAAAAAAAATTTAAAAGATTCCTGCCCAATTCAAGCTAACCTGAGGGATAGACACAGCCCAGGGTGTGCTGAGAGTTTGGCAGAGTTGCTTGTCCCACCAAAGGATGAGGTTGTTGGAGTTGTGTGTTTGGAGGATGGAGCTGTTCCTTTTTAGCTTTGCAGGATATATCTGAGAATTTATCATTGGATCCATGATTTCTCTGAAATTTGCTGTCATTTTTAGCTCCAGCCCTGCCCTGCCAGTTWGGGAGGCAAAATTCAGGGTGAGATCAGGCGCCAGCCCTGAGTGTGAGGGATTTTCTTTGGCCATCCCTTGCCTCTCACCTGTACCAGCTGCAGTCAAACATTGCCCAAAGCTGTCAAATCACAGAATTCTCATCAGCTGGAGGCTGGACTTTGGTTTGGGTAAAGAAGCAGTGAGCAGCTGAAAGGCATTGCAGAGCAGAGAACTCTATCAGGTGCTTTTATCTCCATATTCTGACTTTGYTGTGAATAAAGTAACTCAGCTTCTTGCCAAGACTCTTTGGGGTGGGTATCTCTTTGAATTTTAACTCCTTTGCTGACTATTTTCCCTGCCTTGACAAAAACATTGCATTTATTGCACCTGGGGCTGATGAGGAGGRAAAAGATCCATTCCCTGGGATGGATGGAGGGAAAAAGTGAAGACAGCCACCRGGACAAGGCTTCTGGGAGAAGGGAAAAAAAAAATCTCTGCAGGGAGATGCAGTGGATAAACTGGCAGAGAGATTTTATTTTTTTTTTCTTTTTTTTTAAGGCAGTCTTTATGAAGTTAATTTTATAAGATGATGCCTTTCACTTCCTCTGACCTATTATAATAAAGTGTAGTTATCAGAATGGGCTTTTCATTTCCCATTATAAAGGACACGGTGGGATAATGAATCCAGCTGCCAGACTTGCTTGCTGTTCACACCTTTCTGCCAGTAATGGAGTCTACATGACTGGAGCCAATTTCTCCTTCCCAGACTCACGTTGCTGCCCTGTTGAAGATGTGGAAAATCTTCTGCTGGTGAAAGGCAGAGGAGAGGAAAAAAAAAAATTGAGTCCCTTCACCAATATGCGAGTTTGAGCAAGTGCTGGGCAGAATTAATTAGACAGACGGTTGKGATTTTTGCTTCTCAAAGCTCAGATGTTGTGYTAGAAATGGCTCAAAACCAACTGCTGCTGCTTCTGAGCTGCTGGAATTTGGTCAGGTGCTCCCAGGGCTTGGGGAGAGCTGCAGAAATTGCTGTGAGCACCTCCCTGGGAGCAGGRCAGTCACCTCTGCTTGTCCCAGGGACCCTGCTGGCAAAAGGACAGCACCCAAAAATGAGCCTTGGAGGAGCAGCAGGGCCCTGAGGAAGGGAAGAGCTGCTGGGTGGGCACCCTGCACCCAGCCCAGGGCTTGGATCCCACCCTCCTGCTCCCCCTGAGGGCTGGAAGGATCTGCCATGTGTAGGAATGTGTAGGAATGGGTGTTTTGCCTGAAAGCACAGGCTCAGCTGGAAACCTATCCCAAACTGTGCTGGGAGCAGGAACCAGAACATGTTCCAGGAGTGACAAATGAAAACTCCTAGTTGGTGTGATGGTCAGTGGGGTCAGCACTTCGTGTCCTTCAGGG